GGGATGGGTTCCTTTATCCATGTATTCCTTCATCATTTATTTACTATATTTACAATTTTAGCATATAAGACATCAGAGTATGTAATAGGGCATGAGTAGACACGACCAGTGTCTGCGGAAGTCTGCCACCCAGCCATGTGGGCAGGTGTGACGCCACCTTGGCTGAAGTAGCCAGCTTCCACATTACAAGTGGCTTGAACTGGACAATAAACACAGCATTGGGGACTCAGAATTGCTACACTCTAAATTGCCAGTTAACTGGTTGAGAGGGCATGTAGAATGGTTGTTTGACGTACGTCGAATGAAATGTAACATACTCGGCTCACGCCACAGTCGCAAAGTTGTGAATGTACTGTGAATTGTTCCAGCTACGGTATTCCGACTTGCATTCTCAAGACAAGAGGATATAAAATAATAAATGAATCGACCTCTCCTTGAGCTTAATGGCCCACATAGGTTTATCGCTTTTAGAAAATGTTAAAATAATAATAATAATATTTCAGATTACTAATCACATTTTAAGCAAATAGTACTACTTTTTAGATAAAATATCAAAACTATAAAACGAATAGATATTAAATATTCCCCTCCCCCTTTCCCGGGTTACACGGGTGCCAGGCGAGTGTCGGGTGTGGTGCAGGTGGTGGTGGTGGAGGTAAAAACACTCTTCCTGCAGGACCCTACAGCACAGGAGCTGCAGAAAGGGCTGTGGCAGTATGTCAAGGCCACTTGTCGCGCCCTCGTCTTCGACGTCACCAACGACGCACACCTCGTGCTGAGGTAAAGTGTCCTTCAGACTTACCTGATGGCATCCCTTGTTAACGTTATTAACTTTATTCCCTTTTTCAAGGAAAGGATAGGGTGAAGGGCTCTTGTTCCAAGAAGAATTGGAGCTACCTTTTCCTTCCCTGGTCAAAATTATTACCTCAAATTCTCAAGGCGCTGTTCAACCCATGGGGAATTAGAGCTTTCCCATTAATATAATGTTATAAAAAAAAAGTTTGCAGTGGTGATTAATTCGTTACTACCCACATAGTATTGATCTGGTGTAAGGATTTTTCTCCAAGAAACTGGAGGTACTCAATAAGCGTAAAGCGATCAAGACTGTAAAACCCTCCCTATATATTTATAAGGGGACCACTAGCTCTGTTCTATAGCAGACTTGATAAATTTTACAAATCATTTCTTGATCAGCCTGGCTGTCGCACCCACAGTACGTTGAACTGCTGGCACCAACAGCCAAAAAAAAAAAAAAGTGTTATGGTCAAACTAATCAAACCTGAGTAAGTGACACTCGTGTTTCAAGACTGACTTTGATAATTAAGATATTTTTCTTCAACAGATTCTTACAAGAGTCAGATATGTGGTTGTGGCCAAAGACACGAGTCCTTCTGGTGGGTCCCAAAACACATGTAGGAACCTTTCTCCTACATCCTACCCTCCGCAACACTATCCACGCTCTATACTTTGCTCTCTGTCATCATTGCTCGAAAGAAACAGACACTCATCTTGCCTCTTCAGGTAAAACCCTTCAGTGGAGATGCCTCGATACAGATAACAAGAAATTACAGCAACTTTTTTCTTCTTTGTATCAAAAATGATTACCTCTCGTGCCCCAGTAGGTGAACCCTCACGGGTGTAGGTTGGGTTCCTCCATAAGTATAATAATAATTGTAAACAAAATTGGCTGACGCCACGTTTAAATTACTTTCGAAGGCTTGAAAATTATTTATACGATCGCCCCCTTCCGCCTCCCCCCCCCTCGAAAAAATATTGAGGCAAAATTGCTTTCAAATTATTACTCAAGCATTCTATTTCTTACTACACATATTTACATTTTTGTCCACATGCTTGTGTGTTATATGTTTCATTAATCGAAGGAACCTACTCATCTTGAGCAGTAAATATTGCTGCAACAATTTGTAGCAGTTAAACAAAGAGAATAAAGTAAAATTAGTGCTGCTGTTCAGGTAAATTACACTTGCTTTCCATAGGCTTTAGATCTAAAAAAAATAATTAGAGCAGCTTCGCAGATCACTCTCAAGAAGGAACTAACCCGCAGGCACGAGTGATGGCGTTGAGGTGTACCGACGATGCGCCTTTTGCAAATCGGGGGAAGCTGGGGTACAGTTCCTTGACTTCTGGTCAGTACTCGCTACCGTGGGATTATTCCAGACCAGCCTGCTCTTCCCCGGTGAGTGTGTGTGTGTGTGTGTGTGTGTGTGTGTGTGTGTGTGTGTGTGTGTGTGGGTGTGTGTACTCACCTATATATGGTTGCAAGGATCGAGTCAGCCTGTGGCCCTGCCTCCACGCTGGTCGCTACTAGGTCCACTCCCGGTCTTATCGTACCTGTGTGTGTGTGTGTGCAGCTCTTTGACTGCAGAAGAGTGAGTCAAAAGCTTGGTGAAGGTTAAATAATCATTGCTTAAATTACAGAGTTGCTTAAGTCTGATAAATAGATATATGCACGTGAATTAACATGGTAAGCAATTATTTTTTCAGTTTCCGTTAAAGCTAAGTTAGCTTTAATTTTACACGTAAATAACCAAAACAGTAAGTCAGTTTTCTGTTTATATCAAATATTTTTTTTGACTGTTCTCGTGTTTGGATGCTTAACAGTTACACGTCACAGATATATTCACCGTTATTGTGTTCGATTATTGTATATTACAAATTTTGTTCAATGCTGAGCCAGTTTTCTCATGATACGACAAAATCTTTAACCATTATTTTAGGTTCACTTAGATAATCCTACAAATAAATTTACAGGCAGTTTAATAAATATGAATAATGGTTCCAATATACGAATCATTGTTATCGGCAGACACTGATGAGAAATAAAGCACATTTAACCTAGGATAATTTATCAGATTTTAATAGTGTGACTCTTGGATTGAAAAGACGCAATGCCGACAATGGTAAAGAAAAAAAGTCACGTTTCGGAACAAGCTTTCATTTAGAAACGTTCCCTTATAAAGCGCTTGTTCTTCAGCATGTTTCTTCACCAGCGTGACTTATTTCCTCTGTAATTTCACTTGACAAAATTCTAATTTTGGCGAGAACCAACTGTCCCCACTTCTTTGATGTTATGACGGTTCACAGATGAGATGGCAGACATGCAAGGTCACAGGTTCAAGGTGGTGGGGCTGGAGCTGGTGCCTTACACCATCTACAGAAGGGACCCCCCCGGTTCCAAGAACCCAGTCATTCCCCTCCAGTCCCTTGACTTCAGCATCTTACACACCATCGCTGACAAGCTCAACTTCACGTGAGACTTTCACCTTTGTTCTCCGTGTTAAAGTGAGATCTTTTTTCCGCTATTTTTTCTCTATACGTGAGTTTCTTTCCACCTCTTCTTTTCACTTACGATTTTTGTTTTCGATTATCTTTTTTACGCTAGTTTTCTCCATTTTTTCTCCATCAATGGATAGCCACAGTTCGTTCCCTCACTTAAATATATCCACTAGTTTATTTCACGTAAAGATATTCACTAGTTTATTTCACGTAAACATAACCACTAGCTTCTATCGCGTAATAATATAAGACAGTTCTTCCTCCCAAGGAAGAATATCACATAGTGTGTTGTCTGACTTAAGAGTATCCACTAGCCATTAATATACCAACATTCTATATACCTCAGACAGTACATATTACCTTATCGGTGACTGCCATAGCACGAGTGCAAACACTAAATATTAAAATTGTGAAATAAGCTGCGGATGTGTCACAGCTGACCACAATGTACGTTTTTCCTAAAATTACCCGAAAAGCTGGCAGTAAACTTCAGCATACAGAAATTTAACGTTATTGGACTGCCCATGCAGAGTGAAATAAATTACAGGTTATAATGTATTTTAGGATTATAACGTATTAAGGAGAAATTTTCAGCAATTTTCTTTTGCACCGCTTTTGCTAAAGATAATAAAACACACTTTTTTGTAAATACAACACAGTTTTTTATATTTTTTTTCAGTGCTCCGCGGAGAGGGTCATAGTATGACCTAAGTCTTTCGCGAGGAAATTTTTCCCCCTGCTGAACAATTTTTTCTCTTTACTGTGTTGCTGCTTCTGCTGCTCCTGGATCTGATGCTGCTTCTTTGGCTGTTGTTGTTACTGCTGCTGTTACTTCTATCGCTGGTTTTGCGGTTGTTGCTGTTACTGGTGGTTCTACTGCTGTTGGTGGTTCTACTATTGGCGCTGCTACTGCCACTGATCACCTCATACATCCATCGTGGGACAGGTACGAGATGCGCCCACCGCTGGTGGAACAGTTCGGATTGCCGCTGGAGGACGGAAATTGGACGGGAACTGTGGGAATGCTGCAGCACCAGCAGGCAGACTTCTCTCTGGTGCTCTCACCTACGCCAGGCAGAACACAGGTGGTAGACTTCACCCGGGTGTACGCCTCCGAGCCTTTGTGCATAATTTCTCTCAAGCCCCGGCCGCTGCCTCAGCATCTCCAGCTGATCAGACCTTTTTCCGGTAATGTACACGAAAAAGGCGTGTTATATAAATGATTATAGTTACAGGACTCATTATTAGTATTATTATAAGTATCATGTTTATTGCTTTTATTGTTTTTGATATAGAGACTTGGAACTACTCTCCCGTTGCTTGAATCAAATCTGATTACCTTACACTTATCAAGTAACGTTTCACTAGCACTTCTTAATAAATATAACAATAATATTATTTGTGATAATTATTTATTTAGTTTTAATTTGTGGACCATTACTAATGAATTTGACGGGTTAATTTTATGAATGGTAGGTGACCTGTGGGTGAGTGTGCTCGTCAGCGTGGCATGCTGGGCAGCAACCCTGTGGTTGCTGCAGAAGGCGTGGTCGTCCTGGGTGTCTAGCTTCATCGGAAGCAACAGCAAGAACAGTGGCAACAACACCAGCAGGAATATCGTGACCATCAGTAAAGCCTTTCTCAACAGCTGGAGTGTGATGTTGCAGAGTCAGTACGAACGACCACCACTCAACATAACAGCACGTGTGAGTATAATATATATATATAAATATATATATATCTATATACTGAAAATTATATATATATATATATATATAAATATCTATATCTATATATATATAATACATATATAATATATATATATAATATATATATATATATATATATATATATATATATATATATACTATAAATAAATATATATATATATATATACATATATAGTTATTATTATTATTATTATATTATATTACTTTATTATTATTATTAACAATCATCGGCCCGTTTCCAACAAGGCAGGGTGGCCAAAAGAAAAAACTTTCATCATCGCTCACTCCAACACTGTCTTGCCAGAGGCCATGCTTACCACTACAAGTTATAACTGCAACATTATTAACACCCCTCCCCCTTCAGAGTGCCGGCACTGTACTTCCCATCCGCAGGACTCAAGTCTGGCCTGAATCCCTTCCTGTCGAGTCCTAAAAACCATTTGACTCCATTTGCTTCCTATCTAACGACGCTCACGCACCGCTTGCTTGGAAATCCAAGCCCCTCGCACACAAAACCTCTTTTACCCCCTCCCTCCAACCTTTCTTGGCCGACCCCTACCCCGCCTTCCTGCAACTACAGAATTTTATACACACTCGAAGTCATTCGAGAGTATATATATATATATATATATATATATATATATATAATATATATAATATATATATATATATATATATATATATATATATATATATAATATATATATATATAATGTACTATTTTTTTTTTTTTTTTTTTCACAAGTTGTCGCTCCCACCGGGCAGGGAGACCCAAAAAAGAAAGAAAAACCCCAAAAAGAAAATACTTTCATCATCATTCAACACTTTCATTCACCACACTCACAATATCACTGCTTTTGCAGAGGTGCTCAGAATACAAATCAGTTTAGAAGCATTATAACGTATAAAGATACACAACATACCCCTCCAAAACTGCCAATTATCCAAACCCCTCCTTTAAAAGTGCAGGGCATTGATACGTCCCATTTCCAGGACTCAAGTCCGACTATAAAGAAAATAACCGGTTTCCCTGAATCCCCTCCCTAAATAATACCCTGCTCACACTCCAACAGATCGTCAGGTCCCAAAGTAATCATTCGTCTTCTCCATTCACTCCTATCTAACACGCTCATGCACGCTTGCTGAACCAAGCCCTCGCCCATAAAACTCCTCTACCCCCTCTTCCACCCCTTTCGAGGACATCGCCCTACCCCTCTTTCCTTCCCCATAGATTTATATGCTTTCCATTCCATCTAACTTTGATCACAATTCACTCAAATGACCAAACCACCTCAACAACCCTCTCTGCCCTCCTTACTAATGCTTTTATTAACTCCACACCTTCTCCTACTTTCCTTCTACTTTCCGAATTTCTGCATAATATTTACAACCACACTTTGCCCTTAGACAGAACTCTCCCATATAAGATGTTGGTACTACTATACACTTTCATACATCCCTCTTTGCCTCCATAGATAATCGTTTTTTGACTCCACATATACCTAACGCACCACTCACCTTTTTTCCCTCATCAATTCTATGATTAACCTCATCCTTCATAAATGCATCCGCCAGACACGTCAAACTCCCAAGTATCTGAAAACATTCACTTCTTTCCATACTCCTCCTCCCAGATTATTTGATATCAAATTTTTCTTTATCCTTAATCATTTGATACCCACAATCACCTTACTCCTTTTCTATGCTCACTTTCAACTTCTACCTTTATCACACATTCTCAAACTCATCCACTAACCTTTGCAATTTTTCTTTAGAATCCTCCCAATAAGCACAGTAAAGCATCAGCCAAAAAGTAACTGTGTCAATTCCCATTTTGAATTTGATTCCCCATAATTTAATTCCCACCCCTCCTCCCGAACAACCTAGCATTTACTTCTTTACAACCCATATATAAATATATTAAAACAGAACCATGGTGACATTACACATCCATGTCTAGACCTACTTTTAACGACCGGAAGTATTCTCCTCTCTTCTACACACCCTAAAAAAATAAAAAAAAAACCCAAACCTGAGCCTCACGACCTCATGAAAGCTCTTTAAACAGCAATTAGTAACTTACCACCTATTCCATAAACTTGCAACAATCTGCCACATTGCTCCTCATCCACTCTATCATTTATCATTTGCCTTTTCTAAATCCATAAATGCAATAAAAACTTCCCTAAACCTTTATCCTAAAAACTGTTCACATATATGCTTCAATGTAAACTCTGTATCTACATCATCCCCTAAAAAAAAAACCCCCCAACACCCCCTCCCCCTGGGAAGCCTCCTTGCTCATCCGCAATTCCTACATTCAGTCTTACCTCTAATTCTTTCAATTATAACTCTACCTTATACTTTTCCTGTATAACTCAGTAAACTTATTCCTCTATAATTTTTACAATCTCTTTTGTCCCCTTTCCCGTTATAATAAAGGACTATACATGCCTCCGCCAATCCCCTAGTACCTCCCTCTTTCCATACATTTATAAACAAAGTACCAACCACACCAACACTAATCCCCTCCCTGCTTTTAACAGTTCTGTCCATGATCCCATCAGTTTCCAGCTTGCATTACCCCTTTCATTCTACTAATGCCTCACGTACCTCCCCCACACTTACATTCTGCTCTTCTTCACTCCGTAAAAGATGGTATACTCCCTGCTGCCAGTGCTTGAAATTACCCGCCTCCCGTTCTTCCTTAACATTTAAAAGTTCCCTCAAAATATGCCAGCCATCTACCTAATACCTCCCTCTCCCCATCTCTAACTCCCCTACTCTGTTTTTAACTGACAAATCCATACTTTTCCACCTAGGCTTTCTTACTGTTTAACTCACTCTCAAAATTTTTTTCTTATTTTCATTAAAATTTCTTGACAGGTGCTTCCCACTCTTTCATCTGCTCTCCTTTTGCACTCTCTCACCACTCTCTTCACTTTCTTTTACTCTCCATAACTCTGCTCTTCTTATAACACTCTGCTTTGTAAAAACCTCTCGTAAGCTAACCTTTTCTCTTTTATCACACCTTTACTCATCATTCACCAATCACTCCTCTTTCCTCCTGCCCGCCACCCATCCTATAACCACAAACTTCTGCCCCACATTCTAATAACTGCATTTTTAAAACTATTCCAACCCTCTTCAAGAACCCCCCCCCCCCACTACCATCTTTGCACTAGCCCACCTTCTGCCAATAGTCGCTTATATCTCCGCCCAACTTCCTCCTCCCTTAGTTTATACACTTTTCACCTCCACTTACTTGTTGTTGCCACCTTCCTCTTTTTCCCATCTACCTCTTACTTCTAACTGTAGCTACAACTAAATAATACTGATATATCAGTTTGCCCCTCTATAAACATGTACATCCTGGACCTACCCATTCAACCTTTATCCACCAATCCATAATCTAACAAACAACATTCATACGTGCTACATCATACCTTGTAATACATTATTTATAACACTTTTTCATAAAATAATGTATTACTTATTACCAAATTGTTTCTACACATAGCTCAATAAAGGCCCCTCCCATTTACATTTACCCCTGGCACCTCCAAATTTACGTACTACTCTACTTCCTCTCCATAACATTTTACCCACTTTCTAAGCATTTGAGAATCCCTCAACCACCATTACTCTCACACGTGATTCAAAACTCACCACGCTATTCACACAACATTTCTCAGAATCGCTCTCTCCTCCTTCAACACTTCTCTCTTCTCCGAGGGCTTATACGCTTACTATAACCCACTTTTCACATCCAATCTTATTTTACTCCACATAATCCCTTGAAATTTATGCATTGTAGTCCCTCTTTTTCCTGCCATACTTATCCCTTCAACATTATTGCTAACCCTTTCTTTAGCTCTAACTCTATTTGAAACCCCTGACCTAATCCCATTTATTCCTCTTCCATTGAAACTCTCACCACCCCATCAGCTTTGTTTTCACTTAAAAAGCCAGGACTAATCCAGTTTCTTCTCAATTCATAACATCCTACAATCATCACTCTTCTATCATTTGCACAAACATCCACGCACATTCAAGACTTCCCACTTGACAATTTTCTTCCTTCTATTCTTTTTAGTAATCCTTTACAGGAAAAGGGGTTACTAAGCCCATTGTTCCCGGCATTTTAGTTTGACTTTTTCAACACGCATGGCTTACGGAGGAAAGATTCTTATTTCCACTGTCCCCATGGATATAAAAGGAAAAGTAATAAAGACCCAAGAACTATTAAGATAAAATCAAAGAAAACTCAGATAAGTGTGTATAAATAAACATTACATGTATGTGTAGGTGTGACCTAAGTGTAAGTAGAAAGTAGGCAAACGTACCTGTAATCTTGCATATTTTATGAACCGACAAAAAAGACACCAGCAATCCTACATCATGTAAAACAATACAGGCTTTCGTTTTAACACTCACGTTGCAGGACGGTTAGTAACCTATTCGATCAACGACATAATATATATATATATACATATATATATAATATATATAAATTATATATATATATATATTTATATATATATATATATAATATATATATAATGTATATATATATATATATATATATAACCACTTCCTCCTGTAATACTACTAAAAGTAAAAGGAGAAACTTTCGTTTTTCCCTTTTGGGCCACCCCGCCTCCGGGGATTAATTTCACGGTGTGTTGAAAGAAAGATTCTATATAAATATAGTAAATATATATATATAACATATAAATATATATAAAATATATATATATATATATATTAATAGATATAATATATATAATATAATAATATATATAAATAAATACAATATAATATATATATATATATATATATATATATATATATATTATATATATTATATAAAATAATATATATATATAGTATATATATGTATTAGATATATATATATATATAAATATATATAAAATATATATATATATAAATATATATATATATATGTATATATA